ATTTTGAGTTTGCAACGTTGACTTAGTTTTAGAGGCAACAGATGGAAATATAGTATCTGTGTAAATATGGCATAATTGATCATTTAAGATAGTGGTTCTCAAATGGGGTCCAGGGACCCCCAGGGGCCCTTGAGGGGGTCCCAGGGGATCCCCAGCAAAAAGGGGAATAATTTAGTTTCACTATAATTTCATCCATAAGTAACACAGTGACAGACTGTGTTACAGCTGTCATGGGTGTCAAACACTGTAATAAAACATACAAAAGCAAAAATGCCTTCAGACGGGGAACTTTGGGACAAGATCTTATCAAATGGTGGTCCATGGTCTAATTTGAGTCAGTTTAAGGTTGATAATGAAACTTCAAACCACAGGACTGGAAGCTGATATTGTTTTCATGTTGACTGACAGCTATTTTAATTAGACAGGAACTTAATTCTCATTGGGTTCAGGGCTGTAGCCAAAGTCATCAAACGTGACCGACCCACTTAAGCAATTAAGTCACCAACCAAACTCTTTTGGTTTTCTGCGTATTTAAAAGGGCACTGTCACACACTTAAATGTCAGTTTACTCATCACAAGGAGTACAACTCAGTCTGGAAAAATGGCTGCATAAAGTCCTCTGTGTCTCTAGGGGGAGCTTTGCCAAGTCTGAAAAAACCCCAGTCCTGATGATGTCATAGTGATGTCACCAGGGTTATCTCTGCTTATACTTGGAGACTACAAATTTCAAACAGACAGCCTCTGTTACAAACTGGATGGACAGTGAAAGTGATTCACTGAAAAGTCCCCCAAGTTTATGAAAGTGCATTACTAAATGACTGGAGCAGCCCTTAATAAATAGTTTATTTATTAATTTCACTGTTTTGGTTTTGGTATGCCTTCTCTAGCCTACAATAAGTCAAGTTCATTTTACCAAAATGACAAATTAGCTCTAAACGGCTTTACAATCTGTAATTCAGCTGCAGAACAATAATATTTGAATCGTTTTTTTCCCTTCTAAAATAGTCAAAAAAATTTGGTCCGAAAAATATCTGGATCACACTTCAAAATGATCAATGATCAAAATGATGTGGAATTTTAGAATGCTCGTTAATACCTCCAAAGTAATATAACTGAGGTCATGTTCTCCATCATATCAGCAAAATGGGCATTTTGCAGCTCAAAATGCATTTCAATGAATCTTAAGGTAAACTCTTTAATGACTCATATGTTAGTATGAGTATATTAGGCTGCTCCTTTATGCTTACTTAATATGTATAATACATTATGTAGCCTAATGTATTATCATATTATAATAGTCAACATTTGTCTTAATTGAAAGAGGAAAGAAATATGTCAAAGAACAACAGTAACCCAAATAATAATTTATAATAGGTCCAAAAATTATGATACATATGAATCAAAATAAAGTTATATGTGAAAACACACCTACGACTTTTTGGACAATTTTGGTTTGGTTTCGGTATTATTATTTAAGCCTATTATTATTATTATTGGTGTAATTAATAATCGAGGTCGAACAGCGACACATGAGGGAGTGTATGTATGTGTGACTGCTTTATCTACATCCCCCCTTTCCACACACACACACACACACGCACACACACACACACACACACACACACACACACACACACACACACACACACACACACACACACCCAGAGACCTCAATACGGCCGTGTTGGGATGATAAATAGCGGGCCGGTGGCCGGTGGATCGATCCCCCTCCCCCCTCTCTCTCTCCCTCTTCTCTCTCTCTCTCTCTCTCTCTCTCTCTCTCTCTCTCCTCTACAAACACAAAACTATATACGGCAATTAATTCCTGCTTGTCCCTCCATCCCTCATCGGCCCTGCCGGCGCGTATCGACGCAGATTACTGCTGATGGTCCGTTTTATCACCGCAGAATATACAGCGAGGAGCGCTCATAGATATAGACACACACACACACACACACACACACACACACATAAATATATGTGTGTGTAGTCTATATATGCTACATAATCTCACTTGTGTTTAGGATCGCTGCCATATAACGCCTGAAACCAAAAGCAGCGGCAATCACTCTATGATCAACTCTAAAGTTACGCGCAGTTGTCACAGCCTGAACCTACGACCTTATATTAAAGCATTATTATAGGAGTGATAAAAAGCTGGTGACACCGCTGTATAGGAGGACAAAAGCATTTATCAAACAGTACGATGCGCCACAGTCACCTTTCCTTATTAAATATTATACTAATATTATAAAGATATTATTGGGCTGTTAATGCCGCACTAGATTAGGTTAAATACACCTACACGTTAATAGAAATATTACAGATAGGCCTATAGGCTATTATAGGAAAGCAATATATCAATAAGATTATATTGCATCGATTATATAGGCTAATAAGGTCTGGACTATTAAGAGAAAAAATAAAACAAGCCCAACGAGCAACACAACCCACTTTAATCCACAGTATCGGTATATTATTTGGAGTCGTAGCTGTTGCCTATACTATTTATATGTTATTAAAAATACTATAGAGTTTAGTAAAGTCACCACTCGCACGGCAGACACAATGAACTAAGATGTAACCTCAAAAAATATTATAAGAATATTAAAAGAAAATCGTCGTTTGTTAAAAACGAACACAATAAATGACCTGAAGAAACAAAGAAATATTCTGGAACATTTTAAGATATTTAAACAGACAACAATTAGACCCCATAAGATAATTACTGAATCAGTGGAATCATACTGAAGGAATATGATGTTGAACTAATTTGATATCACTTTTTCAAAAAAACACCCCTTATGACAGAATTATTATATTAGTAGGTATAGCATTATCTTATATTCTATAGATGCTTTTTGGAGAATAAAACTTAACATTGCAATGGAAATATAATAAATAGCCCTGTTATAGGAGGATGACGGTGTGTAACGAAAGTAAATAAAATATATTTAGGCAGTAAAAAGTCAAAGAAACATTATAGGATGCTTACACAAATTATCTCGCGTGTCTGAAGACAAAAGCATCTAAAACACCAAATGTCCACGAGACTGCACTTTGATCTCCACGTGCGCAGCGGGAAGCGGAGCGGCCCACCGTGACTTCGGCTCAAACCTGGAGAGTGTTCGAGAAAACGGCCCTCTGAGCTTCTGCTGCGAGTGTGTGAAGACTGCGTTTGTACGTGTAACGGAACACCCTGGCGTTACTGTAAAACTGCGCTCGATTGAGAAGATTTTAAACAAGAGGGGCGTGAGTGTGCGTGTGCGTGGGCGACTTTTACGCCTGACGGCTTTCTGTCAATATCTGTCCACAGTCTCTCTCTCTCTCTCTCACACACACACACGGTAGGCCTAAGTAATAGGCTAAGTGAGAATTTAAGTAAGAAAGGAGTTTGATAATTTGATGTGGCTTAACAAACTAAAAATTACAGGAGTAACAATCTGCTTAAACTATGGGCCTAATCTATAAAACAATTAAGGAGATTTTTAAAGAGGAAAAACGTGGAAAAAAACAGAACCTCCCAGTCTTTTTAACCGGTTCTGGCGGTTCGTTTTATTTGTTCACTGCCCTTAATTGAAGAAAACTCTTCGGAAATCAAACTAATAGCCTTTGCAATTAATCAATCGCTCTGATTGGAATTGAAAATTGGAAAGTGAGCGTGCCTATAAACACAATGTGTAACATGGGTGTAGCCTAAACCCCGATTCTTATTTTGCAAAAAATCTGAATGAGGTCTGGTTAATATTAACTCTGAGCTGCCGGCCTACTGCTGCTGCTCCTGCTGCTGTCAGAGGGTTTGAACCCTGGTCAGGCTGCTGACCTTTGACCTCTGACCCTCGACGCCCCAACCCTCCTCCAGCTCCTACTGTCCAGCACTGCAGCTGTCAAACCAACTGTAATGGCTGCAAACCACTGCATAAAACATTAATTAACAAAGACTTGGACTCTAATGAATAGCTTCATGTGGTCATTTGCTTATAAAACGAGGTAACAAATTTAACTGATTTTAATGACAAAATAAATATATTGAAGTGTGTATTTTATTTTAAACTGGTGGAAATTTGATTAAAAAGTAGTCAAAGTGGGAACAATCTAATTAAACTATCATTAATTTATTTCTCACCCATTTATTTAGCATCACTGGTTCTAAGTGAATGTTTAGCTTCAGTTAAGGCCTGACACTAATTTTGAGGATCAAATCATAGATATATTTTAGCACCGTTAATGCTCTATGAAATACTTCCTAAATATTTAGAAATATAGTGACACAAGAAAAAAACAATTATGTAAAAGTTATAAAGTAAAAGTTACTTTACATTCTTTATGAGAATGCAAATATCATGGAAATAATATAGGATTTTTTTACATTAACAATTTAGTAACATAAGATTAATTACAGTCGAATAAATTCCCAGTAAAGTCACCATTTAGCAGCAGACTAAAACGTCATTGTGGAAAGATTAAATAATGATAATAGAAATATGCAGCAGCAAATATTACGGTAAATTTACCACTGATGATCAGAACTCTTTAATTCACTCACTAGCATCACTACAGACCACTGCAGACACTCTGGATGAATGTAGAATTATAGCAATATTATAAGAAATTTATAGGAGACATATCAAATGAAAACTGACATCAGAGAATCAGAGACACATCTATGAGAATATCATAGAAGTATTATACAAACTGCAAGTGTGCAAACACAACCTCTAAATGGGACACCAGGTGGCCTAGTGCATATTATAAGGTCGGCGTTATGATAAGGGATGATCATGATGATATGAATGCTATATGATTGCGAGGGCCTTTGATGCATGTCATCCTCTCTCTCCTCTCATTTCCTTGCACCTCTCCAATTTCAAATAATATGCACATTAAAACACAACCTCTAAGTAAACTCCAGTGGCAAGTCGGTCTGTGTGTGAGTGAGTGAGTGTGTATGTGTGTGTGTGTGTGTGTGTGTGTGTGTGTGTGTGTGTGTGTGTACATACGGTTGTTGACCTCTCCTGTGTGGTTGCTCAGTGGGATGATCTCCATCCTTTGCTGTCCGTACAGGTAGTAGTCCAGCTCCTCCGACGTCAGCTTGAACCTCCCCGTCGCTCCTTTGCCTCCCTCCTCTCCTCCTCCTCCGCTGCCGCTGCTCTTCACGCTGGACGACACCACGCCGACCCCGCCACAGCTCTGCTCTTTGGCCTGATGGAGAAGCCCCGCTGCTGGGTTGTGACCGTGCTGGTTCTCCGGAGGGACTACCACCATCAGGTCTCCTCCCCCCCCCCCTCCTGGTCCTCCTCCTCCTCCAGGTCCTCCAGGCCCGGTACATACCGGGGCCAACGCCTGCCCGAAGAGTGCGATCTGCTGGGGGACAGGCAGCTGGGAGATCCCTGCTGAGGTGGAGATGGAGATGGAGGACGGAGTGAGAGCTGATGCTGTCGCCACTGCTGAAGAGGAAGCTGAGGAGGAGGATGTAGAAGAAGAAGAAGAAGAGGAGGTGCAGTGTGTGGAGGCCAGGAGGTGGCTGTGCAAGCGGGATGGGCGTAGGCTGTCTATGGGGATGGAGAGGCGGTCAGGTGGAGGCGGTGGCGGGGCCAGAGGAGCCTTCAGCTGCGCCTGAGGGAAGAGCTGCTGCCAGTGCTGCAGGTAGGACGGGTCCACCTTCAAGAAGGCCGAGCCGCTCAGGTCTCCCGGCTTCAGCATGGCTGCCCGCCGGCTGCTGGAAGGACAGATCAGAGAGGATGAGGTGTCAGTCACCGGCATCAAAACACACAGGAACATTCAAAAGGTCAGGGCAGGATTTAGATATGTACACACAATCCATTCAGACCGGGTCAAATCTGTTCAGCGTGTGTTTGATTTTTTTGTCGGGGAGTTAGACCCAAACACACAACGGACAAGAACTGCATCAAATTCACTACAAACACATGTATAGATGCCAAGTCACATTTAAGCTGTGTTGTTTTACTACTTTAGGTTTACATTTAAGAGACAAACACACTCAAACATGTCACATTAACTGCTGTATTTCTACATTAAACTCACCTTTCAGGCATTTAACTGAGACTAGAACTCAAAAATTTAACTTATTTCAAAGTGTGTTTGCATTCAGTTTACTGTGTGGGTGTGAAACTGATGCTGATCACATATCTCTGCAAATAGTTGAATTATTTTTACTCCATTGTTTTATCATTCTTATATAACTTGCATCTGTTTATTCCATATTTATATATTTCTACATTTATTTATGTCAACTGTATGTTTATCTACGTGTAGCACCTTATCACCAAAGCAAATTCCTCATGCGTATAAAATCCTACTCAGCACCAAAGCTCTTTCTGATTCTGATTCCAACATTCACCCTCATCGTTCAAATTTTCCAGTTTTAAATTGAGCCAGATCGGACCTGATCTCGACCTGATTTAGAGTTTTTACCTTCTGGTTAAGGTGTTATACAGAAAAGGGGCAGCGTGTGAGCCTTGTTGCTTTATCCTGAACCACATGTTGTTTGTGTTAAATTTACATGAACACACATGAGATGCAGAAATTGAACCCCTGCACATCACATCCACATTTAACAGTCTGATCATGTTTCAACTACAAATGTTCAATTTTAAACTTCTGGTGGGTTAATAATAAAAAAAAAATGCATGTGTCTGATAGATATTTACAATATGTTAAGATGTTAATTGCATTAAAATTAGGTTTCAGGTGTAGAGCGGAGCATAAAAATAAAAAAGTGTTCCAAATTGAATCTTCACCAAAACCTTGAATAAAGCACATCCACTGTGTTGTCATCGTAATTACAAAGTTATTAAACATGTTATAAACATTTATCCAATTCATGCTTTCACTCCTGTCAGTCACCTTGACTTTATATTTTAGACATAAAACTAGGCTTATAAAGATAAAATTAGACACAGAGCTCCTACTTTAAATTTACATTTGTGGCAATAATTAGAAATATGAGAGTCAGAAACTTCTCAGTTGACAGTAAATTTATGTTTCAGGTGTTTAAGATGTTCCTGATCAGTTTATTCAGTCAGACATGCTCCACAATTTCAGCCTGCATGATTTCACTGCTGTTTGAGAAAATACAGATTGTATTCTGCAAAGAAAGTTGATGTGCTTCTGTTTAGATTAAATATTTAGATAGATCAACATACAGTAAATTTCTTTTCTTTTTTTTTTTTTTATTAGAGTTCAGGATGTACAGACAGGTTGTTTCACCTTTCCACTGCTCGAAAAGGAATAAATAAATCCGCAGATGCACTGTATCATTTCTAAATTTGAAAGGAGAAATGTAAGATATTTTCAGAAAAAGTGTCATCTGGAGCCTTTTTCAGCCTCTTCATCTTGAGACTTGCACGAGTCTATTTACTTTAATTTCACCTACTACCTTAGACTATTTTTATTCAATTGTTTCTCCTCATCCTTTCTACAAGATGAGCAGTAAAACCCTTTGGTAAATGACAAACGTGGCTAGGCGCTATTTCTGAGACATGAAATGTATATAAACTCTTATGCCAATAAAACACTCAGTATAAACTGACTTCAGACTGGTTGAACCTCCGCTTCAGCCCTGCTCTGCTCCGCTGTCTCGGTCGCGGATGGTTGTTTTAGCGCGGATTTTACGCACGCCAAGCGCAAAACCCGCACCAAATGAAAGCACTCAAGCCGCGAGCACACACTTTGGATTAGTTTACAGTGTAAACCAGGCAGTGAGTAAAAGTTTCATCAGAATAAAGATGGTCCAGTTAAGTCCAAGTCAGATCGGCGGTCCGGCGTGCTGTCCGTGGCCGAACAGAGGCAGTGGTCGGCGGGGAGAGATGAGGGGACGCTCCGCTGTGTTTCCCCGGAGTTTCCCGGGATGTTGTATTTTCTTTAATGTGAAAGTTGCAGACGCGCAGAAAAAGCTTACTGCTGTCAGAGCGTGTGCGGCTCCTGGGCGCTGATTTCCGGACAGCGGTGGAAGGTTTGTCCCTCCTCCAGGCTGCGGTGAACCATCGAGGGGAGCCGGGACAGTTCGCTGCGTCCTGCGCGTCTCCAGAGCCAAAACTACCGGAGCGGCTGCTGTGCGAGACTCTCTCTCTCTCGCTCTCTCTCTCAACCCCCTTCCATTCACTTGCCCTCTCCCCTCCCCCTCTCTCCCTTATCTCCTATGGTCTCTCTCTCACCCTCTAATCCACCCGTATTATTTCGCTCAGTCTCTTTCTCTTGACTCTAACACTTTCTCCTCCTCCTCTTTTTCTCCATCCTCATCTTCAAACTCTCTGTTTCTCTCTTTTCTCTCTCAGCACTTGGCTTTTCTGTTTCACTTTTGTCACTCCATCTGTCTCTTCTTTTTCTCTAGATTCAGCTAAGTTCACTTCAATCTAAGTTGTATTCAATGACACAAAGAGACAGATCAACATACTATGACAAGTAAATCTCTGTCTCTCTATCTACCACAGCAGAAAATCTAAAGGTTAACTGGAATGTGAAGTGGACTGTGTGTGGTTTGTAGTAAATGACAGTGTGTGACTGTGTCATCATTATGTTTGTATTTTATCTTGTAGTGATCGATGCAAAAGGACAGAAGCACTGTCTCTCCATACTATAGTAATTGCATCACATGTAAACAAAGCTAATGCAACACACTAAACACAAATGAGGAAAGTCAGTTTTTTCCTGCCTCTACACTGACACAAGATGCTAGCAACAAGTTTTCCAGTATGTCCTTCTATGAAGGTTTTCTGATCAGCCACCTCTGTGGTTATGGTTGTTCAGGTTTAGGTCACAAAAACTTCTTGCATGTGGTTAGGGGAGAGATGGTGGTAATAGTTGAAGTTTCTGTATGGAGATTTTGAACATTAATATGGCAGCAAACTGTATGCTGTGTGAAAATATAGGGGAGTAAAGGCGTCCTGAGCAGAAAGATGTCACACTCCCTCTCTCTACGATGTCATCCAAGCTTCTCTTTGTTTTGGTAGCAGGTCCGGCCATGCGTGCATGTTAGTGCATGTGAGCGCCTCCTTGTGAAGCTGTTGGTTTTGAGGACAGCGATACCCCAGTTGTTTCTTTTCTCATCTAACGCAATGAATTAAGGGTTTATTTCAACCAGACCAGAGTTGGTGATTGTTGGAACAGTGGAAAGACTAACAAAGATGGTTTTGGTGAGTTTTATTTTGGTTTTGTCCAGTGAGAATGAAATGTGTTTTACTATGATTTGCGAGGTAAAATGTTTTTCTCAATGGAGTCTGGAGGGCTGTAGTCTAGATTTGTTTTGGTCTGAGATGCTGGTGCTCTAGTGTGACATTTAAAGGCAGTGAATGTCGCTTGCAGCTCCTTTAAAAGAATCCAACAATAACTGCTGGTAGCAGACGGGATGTAAACAGCCGTCTTCAGTGTCAAACAACAGAGTCATAAATTCTTGCTGTGACTTGGCTGAGAGACACGGCAGACTACATTTTAGACCACGACCAATCATCTTGTACAGATGTGATGGGTAATGTGTCAGGAGTTGACTTCACTGTTCCACCTGACAGCAGTGACATCTTAACTTGCGGCTGTGTTTACACTTTGTGCTCCTATTGGTCAACTTCACTGAACACGTAGAAGTTGCCAGACTCTGCAAGAAAAGGCCAAGAAATCTGACACACTAGTCTTTTTCTCTGTGCGTTGTGAGCCATCCTAGATCCTGCGTTTGTTGTCTCCCACTACAAACAATTTCCTCTGTCTTGGTCCATTGTCAATGTTGTAACTAAGATCATCATTACAAAATTAATTATTATTATTATACGTCTTGTAGGTGGTCATCCCGCTGTCAGCTCACTTCAGCTCCTTTATCAACCTCTCATGTTAATTCAGCGTGTGTGTGTGTGTGTGTGTGTGCGTGTGCGTGCGCGTGTGCAGATAAGACAGATTACAGCCAAGCTCATTGTGTTTCAGGGTCTGACTTGTTATCCACGACCCCGAGCTTTCCCAGCCGTCTGCTGCTCACAGGCACACACATACGCACACAAGCACTAGGCATGTGAAGCATATCATACGTGTGCGCGTTCATCAGTCATTGTAAGCTGCTGTGGATAAGAACATCAGCTAAATGCCTGAAAACCTAAATGTGTGTGTGTGTTGTTATGACTGGCGTCGCCCTGACAGGCCCCATTTGTCATCCTTGGGACCTCTGGTGGATTGATAACGAACAAAAACACAAACATAAGCGTCTGTAAATGAACTCTTGTCGGCTTAAAGCGACTTTTTCAGCAAAGAGGAATGCAGAGCAACAACAGGCCGCCTGATTGGCTGAAGCACAAGTCCAGGGTCGACGGTAGCCAGTAGGGAATCACAGGGTTGGGAGCTCAAATCCCAACTCCTCCAGTAGGAAATGTAAGCTTTAATTTGTTTTCACCTAAAAGGCCAGAACTTAGTTTGATGTTATTTTAAAGTTTAAGTTGTTTAGATTTTTGAAAGTACTGTAAAGTTTTACACCTACTCTCATAGGAAATTGTGATTGCAGGAGGGATCCATGACTGTGTGGACAAAACAGAGGCTCAGTCCACTTAAACATCTTTAGTTCCCTTTTTTTTCCTGACCCAAAACTCACTCATGGCAGTGTCACCTGGGACTTTAAACTTAGACAAAGTGCTTCACAAAATGATAAGAAATCCATGGAGGACTGGACAGGAAATGAGAGGAAATATACCTCATGTTTTGTTTCAAGTGATCATAAAGTAAATGTTTTTGTGACCTAGACATAATAAAAAACGCTTCAGTCTGGACCAAGGTGGTGAACTCACCAAGAGACAGACATTGCCATCCCTAGAGTCATGCTGATAGCATGGCTATAAAAGGACATTCCTACACACTGCTCTTGCATTGAGTCAGTACATTAAAGTAAAGTTTCGGTCCTGCAGACGGTCTAGAGAATGACTTCCCTTTAAAATCACAATTATTAGAAGGTATTTGTCCTTTTCATTGAAAGATACTGAGCCCCTCTCACATGCACCTGCATTTAGAAATACTACAAGTCTTTCTAACCTGTTGTTAGTTGATCAAGAACACAGATACACAGCATAAGTATAGACAAATTATAATAAGGATTGCTAGTCTATTTAAAGTATTTATAACCTGCTCGTGACCTGACATTATAATTACTGAGAAGCCATGAAGCAGGAAATAATCACTCATAATCATAATAACATCATAATAATCACTCCGTCATCACCAGAAATGGATGACAGAAACACGTTGATCTTTAAATGTCCTTAACATGAATGTTTTGATATCATAAAACATTTAAACGTCCTCTTTTTTCATTAGTGGGGGGAAAACAGCAGAAGGACTGTCAAATGTTATGTGATAATTCCAAGTTTTATGTGTTTATTTTGATCCACATAACACCTAAGCTCTGGAAACACAGGAAGCTCTGCGTCTCGCTGTGGACAGTAACAGTAACACCGCCATTATTTTCCTTCATGCGCTGAGCAGGGAGACCTTTTAGTAACGTATTAATTTATGTTTTCTTTGCTCAGCAAAATCAGATATTTGGTTGAAGTGAAATAAAACGAGACACTGATGAACTGAACTCTTATGTGAAGATAAACTTTAATTAAACTGATCTGATCTGATTGTGTTGTATCAGATATATCATTGAACTCCCCATAAATCAACAGCTTTATGTTAAAGTTGATGTCACACTGTTGAGGCTGTAATCTTTGCTTTTTATCATAATAACTGTTACATTGGAGCTGTTTACTGCTGTTTTTATTAATTGGTAAAAGCAGATTTTTTTATTTATTTATGGGCATACTTCTTACATAAAGTTACATCATTTTCCCTCTTCATCATCATCATCATTAGTCAATAATTAGAGTTCTTCACCATATTGTAGTTCAAGACAGAAAGCATACAGAAAGAAAAGAAAAAAGGAAAGGGCAGAGCGGGAGGAGAATTAGGTGTTTTCATCCATTGATTAATGGCTTTCTAAAGCAAGCACATCGGAGGAGCTTGACGATCAATAAATTAACTGCCCAAATTCATCATTTTCTACAACAAAAGCTAATTATTTAGACGGCTGCAGGAAAAGAAAAAACACAATATTAACAAGAGTTCATTTAGCAAAGCAGTGTATTCCTGCATGTGAGAACACTGCAGAGCTGCTGTTTCCACTCAGAGGAGCTTCATATTCAACACAATCTAAACTGAGATTACAGCCCTTCAATGAACACAGATTTAGATTTAAGCTCAGCTGCGTGGCAAAGTTCAAAGTTAAATCCCAGTTTAGTAATTACTGATTATTAAAAGATAAAAGACAATGGTAAAGTAAATTGACAAGGGCGTTTGGTGAGAAGTGTTCCCTAAATAGAGTCATTATTGATACATGTAATAAGAAAAATAAACTGTGTTTTCTAACTATTTTTTTTGTTTCTTGTTAGCCACGTTGGCTCTAAGAATGGAAACATATTTTAGTCTGTCCATCACTTTAGTTCAAAGTGAAATATTTCCACAACTGTTGGCTGGATTGCCATTCAATTTTGGTTCAGACACTGATGTTCCCCTCAGGATGAACCCTACTAACGTGATCCACTGACTTTTCATTTAGTGTCATCATCCGGTCAACATTTGACTGCGTCCAATACTTTGGTTCATGATCAAATACCTGCAAAACTAATGACATTCCCATCAGCATCAGCTGTACTTGTTTAGCGCTTATTAGCGAATGTTAGCAAGCTTAAATACTAAACTAAGAAGTTGAACAAGGTAAACATTATACTGGCTAAACACCATGTTGGCATTGTCATTGTGAGCATGTTAACATGAGTCGCACCGCTGCTACACACCCTGGCTGTGTCACATCATTTGATGCCAGTGGCAGACTGAATTTACATCCAGTGGCAATGCAGTAAGCATTGTGTCTGATCATGAACTGCAGCGTCCTCGGTTCGAGTCCAGCTGGGGACATTTGTTGCATGTCAACTCTAATCTCTCTCTTCTCCTGTCTTCTCTCTATGGTTGATCTTATTAAGGCATAAAATAACCCCACAAAAAACTTCAACAATGTTTCTGGGCAGTTTAATCTGAACAATTAATGCTTTGTGATGCTGTTACAGGTTTGTTTACATCAGTGCAAGACAACAGGCTGATAAAATGAATCATGAAAGGTTGAAGGAACATACATTAATGCTTTAATAAACATCATCATAGAGGTCCAACTCTACAGCTGCACATTTGAACATTCTTGTGGTTTAAATGGCATTAAGCTGACGGGGCATTTAAGGAAGAATTTACGGTTTAAGGGGTTCATTTCCACTCTGGTATAAATGAGGCTGTGTTGGTTTAAATCCATGAGGGTTCGTTAGCAAACAACTGATGGTAATTCAATTAAAATGTTTGTATGTCCCCTGTTCATTCACACACACACACACACACATGTACATCACCCTGTAACCTTGGTGTGAGAGCCTCTTGTATATATACAGGTCTAAAGCGGTGTCATGTTCATTTACATAGGAGTATGTTGTTAAGGTCCTGCTTTGACATTCAATTAAAACGTTTACATTTCTGCTTAATTAATTCAGCAGATGGCGGGAAGAAAAGACGAATGGACGGGCTGCTTTGACAGGAGACCGATAACTCTGTGTGTGTGTGTGTGTGTGTGTGTCGGCCGTGGTGTTAAGGTCACGGCAGGCTGACTATTATAATTCATCTCTATAGACATGTATTCAGCAGGGACTTATATTCTCTTTTTCAGCTTTATTTCCTGCAGCTGAAGCCGAGCTGAGCTGAGGTGTTTTTAATGCAGAAAAGTGTTGTAAAGCCGTAGTGCTCGTCTGTATGGAGTCAATTATTGTACACTGTATAGCAGTTTATTGTTAAAAAAAACTAACTGCTGCAGCTGATTATTGATCTCTGCATGCTGGAAGATGCATGTGTTTGTCAATCATGAAGAGAAAATACAAATCCACAGAGCTGCAGGATCATTTGTTCCTGTTTTGATTGTAGGACAGAGGCTGCATTTGGTAACTTTACATTTTACACATATATTATTTATATATTATATATATATAACCTTATGACTTTACAACCTGAAAGATCTCCTATGTACTAGAATACTTATGTTGGAAATACAATGGCAACACTTAATTACATCATTTCCTAATTATTTCCTAGGAACTTTCCTGGAAAGAAACGCATATGATTATAGGGGAAATAGAGAGCATATAACTTGGATTAGGAAATATAATAATCTAAATAATCAATCGGTGGGTTTTAGACTCAGTATCATACTGCCCTGCAACAGAGAGAGAAACTATAGACAGAAACAACACTGTTTGTCTCTTTTTGACTGATTTTATCAATTTAATTTTACAAATGCATCACTGTAATTAGGATGCACTTATCTAGGTGATTATTTGTTGAATACATTATTCAATTTCTCTTTTGTTTTCCCACAGATATGTGTTTTTAGTAGTAGTAGCAGTATCTGTGACTCCTTCCAGGTGACAGTATTGAAACTTCCCGCTGTCATAAGGGACATTAAATAAAAGGCATTTTCTAAGATCTGTTCATGTAAAATACAGAAAATTAGTCTATAAAGAAAGAATATTTAACACAATACCACACTTTTACATGTGACCCATGAAAGTTAAATAAATTACGATTTGATCCGTCTGTATTTAGAGGTGTTAGCTCCTCTGCCAGACAGGGGGCGATGTTGTTGATGCTCATGCATATGCTGGTTTATAAAACCGCATAACCTACATTTAAACACTTTTTTAAAAAACTGTCCAGTTTAGGATTGACTTATTTTTATGGTATTAACAACAGCAGAATGTTGTGTTTTTGTGTTTATATTCTCTCCGTCAGGATCTACAGTACTTGTATGATCCTCCAGGTGCGTGCAGGCTGACAGGTGTGACATTCATTCTTGTTACTACAAATGATCAAACACACTGATGTTACTGTTTGTACCAGCTCAGGGTGTTAAAGGTCAACACAAACAGGACAGGTAACCTTTATTTATCCAGAGAAGGTTTGACTGAGCGGAGAGATTAGAGAAAGATTTGTTGTGTAGCAGGAACGTTTGTCCTTCAGTCTCACGAGGAGCCCATCATATTCATCAGGAGACCCCTTGGAAGGTCTCAACCCACAGGTTGGGAACCACAGATTTAATGTATCAGTAGTGAACAGAATGAAAATGTGAAATATTTTGCAGGCTTAAAAGTGTTTTAATTTGGGGGCATTCTTGTGGTTTTTTTTAGAGTTTTTGTAGAGTTTTTCTTTCTTCTTATGACTTTTAGAGTCTTGTTTCAGAGTGGTCACTTTGGAAAAATGAGCAGTTCTCAGAAGCTGTCTAACCCAAATAAAACTATAGTATATATAGTTTTGAATGCATTCAGTCCAAACGTTTCTGTGTCCCAAACACTTCTGTTTCATCTTTAGGCAACTTTCACTGCTTGGATGCAAGACAGATCCCCTTAGATTATAATTATTTACAGTAGGCCTAAAAAATCTCATTAATTACACTAATTCTGCAGAAAATTGAACGACTGAATCTTCTAGATGCCTCTCTTCACATATTTTCTTTGGCTATTTTATAATCTTCTTCTCCCATCCCCTCTTCCTTCTCTCCTCACTTTCGCGGAGCTTCTCAGTGGGCGGGTCTTTGATCCAAGCTCAGCCCACAGGGGGGAGTGGTCTGGTGATGTAGCCGCGTTTGGAGCGCCGTTCCCCGGCCAGCCTCCCAGCTGTGGATCGCTGTGATTTCTTCTTCTTCTCCCCCGTCACCGTTACTCCCAGCAGGGGCCTGCCGCCGCTCTCTCCGGGATAAAGAAATGGAGCTCCGGACAATCCTGCCCGTTCTGCTCTGCCTCTCTGCCGCCTGTCTGCAGGTGTCCGGTGCTGCTTCACGGACAGGACCGAAAGTCACGGAGAAGGTGGGTGATGATTTTTGCCGCATTTATTTGCATTAATGCCTAACTGCGTCTTCTCTCCTCTCGGTGCACCATCGGCATCTTCTCATGGCGAGCTGCTGCGCGCGCCGGAGCGTGGATAATAAGAGGCATGCAGGACAGCAGCAGCGCGCGCACGCACACACACACACACACACACACACACACACACACACAAACACACACACCAACGCGGAGACGACGTGTCCGGTCCCAGCCGGGAAAGGCCTGAACCGGAAACACACAATTGTCTCATCGCCTACTTACACATCGTTCCATAATACACACACACACACACTGACACGTGTCCATTCAGATGAGACTTAATGCGCAGTGCGTTCGCCTGCTGGCCATTCACACACACGCACAGACACACGCAAAACAGGAGCTGGCCTCCATATAGATTTCAGCGTGTTTCATGTTCATATTATCTTAATGCATCACATATAAAATCACCAGTTATTATGGCCAAATTTAATCTTGACTTTTGTCAGATTGTAATTTCAAGTACTCAGACGTTTTACTCAAGTAAAGGTAGAAGCTTGAATTTGTCCCTGGGGATCAGTAAAGTCTGGTTTCATCATTTATTTATTGATTATATTTTGAAGCATTGGTTTTAATCTGGAAAGTAACTAGTACGTCCAAATAATTGTAGTGAAGTAGCTAGAACATTTTTTATTTTACAATAATTTTAGTAGAAAAATGGGAAAAAAAACTGTTCTTAGATTACCCATGTAAATGTTTCTTGTCACTTCACACCTCTGATTGATTGACACTCTGCCTCTGTATGTGTGTGTGTGTGTGTCCAGGTGTTTTTTGATATCACAGTGGCGGGTCACGAGGTGGGGCGGATTGTCATTGGCCTCTTTGGGGAGGTCGTCCCACTCACCGTAAACAACATCGTTGCCCTGGCAACCGGAGAGGTCTGCTAATGGTCGATGCTCACACACACACACACACACACACACACACACACACACACAGAAACTCTGTCATCAACACATATGGTATCATTTAGCTATCTAATCTTCATAATTGTGTACCATGTAAATCATTTGATTTATTCCATGTACAATCAGACAATACAAACATACACAAAGTCCAGGTAAATTTGTTAATGCGGCCAATATTATGTGAAATAACAGTTTTGTCCTAAAAAGAATTTGGTATTTTAATAGAAAACTTTATCAAATGACCCTAAACTAAACAGTAAATCATACAGTGCTTCACTCTCACATCTCTAGTCAATGTTGCAGATTAGGTCTCATTGTATAAATAAAATATTGAACACATAGGATATGATATTTTGAAATTAAATGCGGATATCTTTTTTATATTTAATCGAATTGTTTAATATTTGGTTGTGCATTGCACGTATTCAATATTCTTCTTTCTTTCTATATGTTTGATGTTTCCACACAAAAAGCCTTGAAACCTCTAGTTTGTCTTATCAAGCAAGTATTTGATTTTGTTTCATTTAAAATCATTGTTGTTGTTGAGTCTACTTTGTGCAGTGTTCACCTAATCCTCTCAGAGCTGATAATCCACTGTTACCGTGAATGTACAGTGGGTTGGCTTACATTTGGCGTGTGCCTCTGCAGAAAGGTTACGGCTACAAAGGGACAAGGTTCCACAGAGTCATCAAGGACTTCATGATCCAGGGAGGAGACTTCACAGCTGGAGATGGAACTGGAGGTGGGACTGAGACTCAAAGTGTACTTTTTTTAAAATCAAACACTCATTTTCTGTTGGCTTGAACACGGAATTCAAACTGAGATGAGTGTTCATGTTAGAAAAAAGCCTCAACAAACTCATCCTGCAATGTAATCCACATCTCTGCTGTCTAATTTTGCACTCTTTGTATTTTTTCACCAAATTACAAATACATGCACACCCTCTGTTTCAGTCCTCACACACAATGCTGCAAAGCACGTTAGTAGGTGATGAAGAGCTCATTCGTGTCCTTAAAAAAAAGCCTTTTTTACAAACAGATTTTAGATTTTCATGCAAAATTTGTCTCCATCTGAAAGTGAACACATTTCATTTTTTTCCCATTCAGGTCATAGCATCTATGGAACAACCTTTGCAGATGAAAACTTCAAACTGAAGCACTTAGGAGCCGGCTGGGTGAGCACACATGTCTGTATTTCTGTTTCTGACGTGAAGCTGACCTCAGTATTAAAGAATAATGAGCCAATAAACTACATTTTTCTACTTTCATTCTAGAGTGAGAAACAATATAACTTGTCAAAATGATGATGATGCGATGGATGAAATGGAATTGCGTGTGTTTATGTATTAGGTGAGTATGGCGAATGCTGGTCCGGACACCAACGGGTCGCAGTTTTTCATCCTGGCTACCAAAGCTCCTTGGCTGGACGGGAAACACGTGGTTTTTGGCAAAGTCCTGGACGGGATGGTGGGTGGACCATCAGACACTTTTCAGAATTCTCCAAAGAAGAATATATCCTGAAAGTTTGTTGTGACATTCCCATTAACAGAAATTTGAAATTGTAGATTGTTGGTAGAATACTTTTTATCCTAAGTGGAATCTGGAGTTTGAGGACATAAGAAAAAAGTTACTTAACAGATAAAGTCATTCTTCAAACAAAGAAAACTTACAGTTAATTCACATAATCCAAACTACTGAGAGGAAAATGGCATCAACCTGCTTGTTCTGCCAGGTTGACAGGTGAGCCAGCTTGTTTAGATTCAAAGGCTCCGCCCACACTGGAAGCATACTGCAACCCATTGTACTCGAACTCGGAAAAAAACGACCATTGACAAGGAATAGTGCAACGGTCCTTCAAGTCAGAATTCCAAGTCGGAAATCTGTCCAACTGTAGTTCTCCCTCCTAAGTGTCCCTTGTTTATGCTAATGAATTTTTCATTTGTTTATTGCCATATAACCCTACACCTCTCATTCATCTTAGTCATAAGAGTGCCGTTAAAGCCTCATACTTCTGAGTGTGTCTAACCTGCTTCTGTCCGTCTTCATTGGCAGTCTGTGGTTCACACCATCGAGCTCCAGGACACTAATGACAGGAACCTCCCGTACACCGAGTGTGTGATCGTCAACAGTGGCAGGATCCCCGTGAAAGAGCCTTTCGTAGTGGAGGTGGAGGGCTGGTAAATGACAAGACATTATGTGATTATTACTGCTGATCAATCAGAAATCCAGTTTGCAGTTTTGCCAAATTCATATTTTCATACATTACTCATGTTAACATGTTAACACTAAAGGGCAGGGTATTGTTTGAATCTTTTGATACCAAGGCTGAAACATTAAGGTATTAAGGAACATATCAAACAGTGATGTTAACAATTGCTAATGAAGGAAGGGAAGATTTTTATGAACTTTCTAACAGGGAATACAAGTCAATCTGTAGTAAACTGGGTGTGGAGATCAGATTGGGATTAATAGTAAAATTGTAAAAGAATACACAAACATGTCATATTTTTCTATCCTCAGCTGAAAACCTTATATCTCCAAAATGGCCACATTTTTGAACCAGATTTATGACAGTGGTGTAACTTCACTTTGTGACCTAAAATAGTTTGAAAGGATTTGTGAACCTTAAAGGGTAACTTATGATACCAACTTATGATATTTTTACAATCTGAACCCCATTTTCTGTGTGACTAACGGTAACAACAGTTTGAAAAATTGGTCCAGTATTGAGTGAGCGCACTTCAGTCAGCAGCAGTGAAACAGGGCTGCAACCAGCAGCGTAACATAATTGTGACTGGCCCCGGTGCAAATATTTTTCTTGTGCCCCCCCATCACCTGCCCCCAAAAACACGCTCATGTACACACGGGCTACAGACACACAACGACTCCATGCAATTGCAAACCTGCAGCCTTTGATCAGCAGAACAAACAGCAGCCAAAGTGCCAAATCTATCAACTCAAATACAGCTGCAAAGTAATCCTTGTGGGCAATTGCTTCCTGTCAAAGTACGTCCACAAAGGGCTTGTTTTTGCCACTGACAGGCTCAGCTTGATAAGTGTCTGACTTAATTATGGAAAGGATCCCTATAGATACCCTACCTTTTTTTTTTTTACAGAGTAAGATCCTTTTGTTTAACCAGAAACAGTCGCTGTGTTCAAAGCCACCAGACTCCATTGACAAAAACAGCAATTTCTTCTTTACCAAAGCGGGAGTAAAGTGTTTTGCAAAACGTGCAGTATTGTGGTCGAAAAAGGAAAAGGAAATCGTATATTGACAAACACTTGTCACCGCAAAACATACGGGGAGAGTGGAAGAAATGCACAAAGGACGTCTGACAAGACAAATTACTGTGACACAGGCTGTTGCATCCCGGTCAACTGCAAGCGCTGAAAGAATCAACACGAGTTAAAAATGTTCCTTTACTACATTAGTCACAGTGAAAATTGGGCCTAGGTAGAAAAATACCAAAGTTATCCTTTAAGGTGTGATTTTAGGGTGATTTACCCTGTCATTTAAAAATACATCACTGAATACAACAATACACATACAAGACAAAGTTTCGCAACACATTCTCACTCCCAACTCGTTACATATTGTATGTCAAGACCTCTTGGCAACGCTTTAACACAGTGGGTACCCCTTTAGCATTGTTTTTGCACATGCAGGGCTCCTCAGTCAAGTTAGCAATAATAAATATGCAATGTGGGTGAAAGTCCGGTGTCTGACCCGACCAGCTAATCCGATCTGCTCCCTACATGGACTTTTGAGTTATTTATATTAGACCTACTCCAAGGGGTCTTGACCAAGCGTCCATATGTGACGACTTGGGAGTGAGAACATGTTGCTGTGGAAGTACAGCATTTATTTTATTCCAAGGTGGATTGTTTATCCATTTGAATTTATGTGCTGGTTATTTATGACATACTCCGTCTTAAAGGACCTCTCATAGATGAGCATGTAATACAAAAACCAAAACCTGGAGATATGAGGTTTTCAGCCCATTCTGACACATTGTAAGCAGAGAGGAGTGGTGTCAGTTTGACCTCGTTGTGTTCATTATTGATCAGGTTCACTGTGGTTCATGTTAACGTTTTTTATACGTTAGCATACTTCCATATTTAGTGGATGGTGCCAGTTAGCATTATCAAACTGTATAAAACGAAATAATGAACTGTGACTCAAACGTATCATGAAAACTTGCACTTACAGAACTTTGTAGCTCCTCATTAATCTCTTATTGCCAAATCATTGCTATTTGCCAAAGTAGCTTGCATGTTCTATGCATCTGATCAATACTTCATGTCATATCTGTTAACAAACATATGCAAAAATTACTTGCAACCTCTGTAGCAAGCACCTTATTATTTATTTTTATCATTCCATTCCATCAAGGAAAATGAAGATATCCTTTTTCATGTTTTGATTAAATGGAGATAAAGTGTCTCTTCCTCATAAGGCATTATGCACCATATCATGTTTTGCAAAAACTACAGCAGAAATTGCTCAGGAGGAAAATGTTCAAAAAGTGTGGAAGTGGGTATAAATATTGTACAAATGCTGTTTCTGTCTTTTGGTGTAATGATCTTAAATGTACTTTGTGTTAGAGGTGTGTTGTTGCTGACTGACACCAGGTCAGTGAACTCATTCCGACTGTTAAAAGTTTTTTTTATCTTTTTTAATTCAGTTCAGAGTTCAGTTAACCCGAAACTCTCATGGTAGCATTATAATGCTGAAAAGTAATGACCGATATTCCTCATGTCACTGACGTTAATGCAGCATTTTAAAACTCTTTAGCAAACGTATCAGAAGTTCCATTTTCATTATTTCTTTATAACAGCAGAAGAAGAGTGCCAACAGGGGAATTTTCTACAATAAACAACTGTTGCAGAACAATCTTGGTGTCTGTCTGTCCTGTTTTAGTTTTTCTGTTGATTAATGCCTCGTTCAGGTGATCAACTTGTTACGACAGCAAATTTCACATTACCGTGCCGTATTTACCAGGCGTTCAGGTAGTCATATCAGAGCCAATAAACCAATAAAAGCAGGATGTAAATAATGGAGCCCGACATAGACTTCACTCCTTGCTTTTAGAATCAGCCTGATGTTAATCAGGATATTACGGATAAATACATCTCAGTTTTACCTTTCGCCATCTCCTCCTAGTCTTCATAGGAAAACCTTCTTATTGGATGATTCTGCCACACATGTTTAAGGTATAATGCCAATGTTCAGTGCCAGTGCAGGAAGAAGGGTGTCATTCTTTAAATCATAGTACAATCTTTCACTATCCTCATCTAAGTGTTTTAGTTGCTTAATGTTAACCCCATACTGTGGTATGTCATGCATGGATAATGCAGGAATAAATAAAACATTTTTTTGAAACAGCATAATTGTACATAGCCTAATCTGTGGTTTCGCAGAATCATCCCATATGAGCAATGAAAATACTGACCTGCTTCACTGTCACAGTTATTACTGTAAACCTGGTTATCCACATCTACAGTATCTACCAGCTTTTCTCTAAATTTTCCATTGAGGTATGACTTGTTCAGAAATGACCACCGGATCTGGATGCATTGCGAGTTGCTGCCATTCTGTGACCGAGCGTCTCACTGACGGCTCTTTTCTCTGCTCTGCTGTCTTTATACACCTGCTAGGTTGACATATGTGTCCTGGAGCAGTTTGCGTCTCCAAAAGTGAAAGTCACTATGCCTGTATTTATTTGCGATGGAATTAGAATTAAATATTGAATGATGCATTTAATTTTTTTACTGACTTTGTGTCAACATGGAGGCCAATAAAGAAAAACTATTTTTTCTTGTAAACAATTAGTTAGTGGGAGGGATAGAGAGAGAAAGTAACGGTGAGAGAGGGAGGGTGGGAGATGTTTTCATGCTATTACATTTCTTTCTCTTTGTTTTACTTTCAATTGCCAAAAAACAAAACATCACTGCCAACATCATGAGTGGGACAGAGAGGTCCAGCTCTCCTTTATATATGTTTCTGTGTCTGTTGAAAAGAGTAGGGTGGTGATTAGTCCACGGGCCAAGCCAGAATTTGGTACCACCAAAGGTGGCAAAATCTCTTTGCTACCAGTTAGTTTGTAGGATCCATATAAGTACTTTAAAACATGATAACAATTTCAAATGAGTAGCTTTACAACCTTTTTTTGCACAATCATGGTTTTTGCCATTACCGTCCTACAGTATGTGCACAGTAGATTTGTGGGAAGTCTATTGTAAGAGGTAGCCATACATGCTATATGTTGATTTGTTGTTGTTGTTGTCAGTCAGGACTATCCAGATCTGCCATCATTTGCCCTGATATTACTTGTATACGTTTTATATTAGCCTTCATATTAAGTGAAAATATATTTGCATCTTTTAAATTCTTAAAACTAGCTGAAAATATATTGATGCTAGGGAGTATATCTTTTAGGATATGGATAGACAAGACTGTCTGTAATCTAGAATCATGATGGTGGGACACTGCATGACCTAGCAAATTGAAAAAAATGGTATCTATGTACTGTATATATAATACACTGCAAAAAAAAAGCATATGTGATTGTGAATCAGTGCACTCATTGCTCTCTCCTCTCATTCATACGTGCCGTCGCAAGAATGTTTGCTGTGTCTCCCAGCACAGTCTAAAGAACATGGAGGAGACAACAGGAGATGGGCCTCCACCATACTTGTTGTCATTCAGATAAGTCACTAGTATGGAAGATTTTTCCACAGTACACATTTACACAAAATTTCACAAATGTGTAAAAAGGAAGTTACAAATGTAACATGATGCACAAATTGGCAGAAAGCAATCTGCAAATGTGCAATAACTGTTTTGTGTGTAGATACATACACACAATACATACACTAGCTTCATCTTAAAAGGTGAGTCCTGCTGTTATTTTGAAATGTATTTCCCTACAAGCACTTTGTGACTTCTTCCACTATGACTCAGTTGTGTGAAAATGAGTGAAGAAATTACCAGATTGCCACTTGCAATTTTCAAAACAAGATTACTCCGACCTGCTTTGTTCCACAAGCAAGGTAGCTGTGTCCAGTTGGACAATATAGCAGGTGCAAGAAAAATGCTCTGGTGGTTAGGTGGTGGTTAGTCTCTAATGTGTTGCTAACAAGTCAATAACCATTCATGCAGAACGAGTTCAACATTTTGAAAGTTTGCACATCAACCTCTTGTATTGTCCCGCCCCATCCAGGTTGTGATTGGTCAGTTCACAAAAATTGACACTGACAGTTTGCAATGACGATGATCAAATGATGAAATAAATTCCTGAAAGAGGTAGAACACTTTTGTTTCAATCTATGACATGTTGTGTTCAAATAAAGTGACTAAAGATTTTTTCATTCTTTGGCTCAATATTTAATGTCATTGAAGGCTGATTTCTGTGACAAAGCTACCACTTACAAAATTTTATCATGTTGAAATGTCATCTAGAGATCTAGACTCAGACTCTTGGGTGGTAAATTCTGAACTGGCTCCGTGGACTAAATGATGCAGTGGAAACAATATACGTGCCTTTGGGATGAACTGGGTTCGATTCCCATTGCGACACATCCACCAATGTGTCCCTGAGCAAGACACTTAACCTCTAGTTGCTCCAGAGGCCTGCGACCTCTGACATACAGCAATTGTAAGTTGCTTTGGATAAAAGTGTGAGCAAAGTGAGTAAAGACACCTGTTCAACAGCAGTCATTCTCAAGCTGCTGGGTGTGTGAGTTATCATGAGTTTACAATCATGACAATTAAAATTAATTTTGACAAAACATCGCCGCCGACCCTCAGGGCCCTTGCTATGACCAAATAGCGTATGAATGACACGGCAATGTCTTAAGTAATTTCATATGTTTTCCCGTGTCATTTCACAGCATTTAGTCTCCATTGACTTACATTGAGTCACTGTGTCAAAGTGTCAGGTGAAGCAGTATAAAGAGCGACAAAGTCCATATGGGGATGAGGCTGGGATGGATGGATGGATGGATGGATGGATGGATGGATGGATGGATGGATGGATGGATGGATGGATGGATGGATGGGTCAAACAACAAAAATAAACATTGTCTTGTTTTAACTTACTTGATGTAACTTAATGTTCTTATTTTAACCCAAGCCATGATCTTTACCTAAACCCGTAACCCTAACCAAGTAGTTTTGGTGCCTAAACCTAATCAAACTTGTTAGCATGATGATGAAGGTCACTTGACTATGTCTTTTCCTGCACGTCCAAACTCATGAAATGCGCCATCTGTAACAGAATTAAATGACATGCAAAATGCTCAGAATGTGTAAGCATGACACGCAAATGCCTGGCGTGCAATTTGTAGGCCATCCCATGATATCGCCTTGTTTAGCAAGAGCTCTGTTTTGGGGTGAGAATATTGAGATAGCTAGCAGCCTAATGAAGATGTGCTTTAATGTAGACACAGGCTGTTATACACCATGCAGGTCATTCAGGTAAAAGAGAATGTGGCGTAGCACAATAAAGAAACTGAAAATAGGCCTACAGCCACAATGCATCCATTATCACATCTAAATGAGCTGTAAAAATAAAGCCTATCTAGGCTTAAAAACACAAAGAATGTGGGTAAAACAACTCTAAACTATATTAGCAATTTGCCTGCTGAAGAAAAGATGCCTTGGCTGAGCCACATCACAGCTAGAACCACATCCTGTCATTACTCAGTTACTCTCACAGTTACAAACTAGCTTGGTGTGAAAACAATCACTCATTTCCATTTCTACTTTGTCCCATAATGCCTTTTAGTCCCTTTTTTGTCTCTCATTTGAACCAGTTGTGGGTCTGCAGGCCGCTGTTTGAGCAGCGTTGGCGTTAAATGGTGTAATTATCGTCGGTAAAAGGTGAAGCTGCAGAGGAAGGCTGAGAGCTGACAGCTGATCTCTCAGCGCTGACACAAAACTGCTGCTAATGAGAACTACAGCGGGTGATTTGTTTTCCCCTGTTCTACAACACACACACACACACACAGATCACATACACACACACACACACACACACACACACACACACAACAAACACATGGGAGGAAAACATCTCTGAACACAAAGGTCAGAGTGGAGCAGAAATCTCTGGAGGAAGACAGGAAGTTGACAGAAAACAGTGAAATATATCACCGCCATCCGCTCAATGCGCTCTCTCCTCTGAAAAGTCAAATCTCCACAAATTAAGAAAATAATCCTGATTTTCACTTTTGACTCCTGTTTGTTTCAGAACTGCAAAAGGTGACCAGCAGCCCGAGCCTGTGCACGAGTTTCAGCTCTGTTCAATTTTAAATCATCAGAAAGTTTCTTTTGTCGTCCATCTTCTTCTTTCCTCTTCCATTTTCCTTTTTTTTTCATTTAAAGCTGCTATGTACTGATTTGGATGGAAACTACTGTTGGTTATATTTTGTGCTGCTTTTGAATCTTTCAAATTGTATAATTTTTTTATTCTAAAACAACCCTCAGAAAATCACAGGTCTTATAAAAAAAATAACTTTGTGAGCATTTTAGGCCTTTATTTGCTAGCGATAGTGGAGCGATAACAGGAAATGAGGGGGAGAGAGATGGTTGTTAATGTTCCTGCGAAGATGATCAAAACAGATGTTAATTATTACAAGCAAACATTAGAATAAATGAATAATTAGGAATGAATAATGTGGTTATAAATAGCAGGAATTATTACAGTATGGCATGTAAGATACACAATCCAAACCCATTCTATAACTTGGTTGGTTGTTTCAAACAGCCTTTAAATGAAATGTTTCAACATGAAGTAGGTCCAAACTACGAAATAAAACACAGTCATTTAAAGGCTGTTGATTCACATGAAACTTAGATGCCTTAAAAAGCTCTCTATTGTCCACCTCAAT